GCGGGCCTTTCTGCGGCTCTGGAAAGCTCTCCCAGTCAGGTGTGCAGGGGTGCCCCTCAGCGCTCAGGTCCGGCTTCTCGCTGTCCCCGTCCGGGGTTATGACGTTTCTCTTCCCCCTTACCACCTGGGCACCGGACTCCCTCTGAGAGCTCCCCACGTCCCGTCCTCCTGAGCTGAAATGGGGGCTAGTTATTCCAGGCCCCCCCTTCCCTAATCTCTTCCTCCAATTTCCCCTTGGTTCCAGCTTCCTCCCTCCGCCCCCTTTAGGGGAAAGGGCGCCTGTGGCTCCGGCTTCTCCCAGTCCAAGTGCTGCCTAATCAGTAGTGGTTGGAATCCAGAGCTGGGGGGCCAGGTGGATGGCCCTTGGGGTGCAGAGCAAGGAGCCCTTGCATGCCTCATCATGGGGGTGGGGGGGTACCAGGGGACAGAGAAGCTAGCCCGGCCCACAGCGGGAGCACCATCAATATTTGCTGATGTTTAGGACAGGAGGAGAGGCACCGGTGGTGCCTGGAAGAGGGGCATGGTGTCCCTAGGAATCATCTGTGAAAGGCCTTTCTACCTCCCGGGTGGGCTTCTCGTGGTCCTGGGAGCGGAGTGTGTCACTGTGTTTTGGGGTGAGGTGCCAGCACCGGTGTCTCTCCCTGTGAGACCTGCAGTGGGAGTGGGAGTGTGTGACTGAGAGAGTGTCTGGGTGTGCATACGAGACTGGGACTGGGACAGTGGCCCTGCCGTTTCAAGGATCCCACTGGAGAGCTCCCCGAGGAGTGCTCGTGGCACCCTCTGTTGGTGCCAGGACCACCGGTGGGCCCAGAAGAAATGCCTAGCGAGGCTCTGGTTCCCCACAGCCTCCTCTCCCCAGGTGGGGTGACTATGAGGGATGCTCAAAGGCTTAGGGGGTGGAGGGTTATGAAATGAGACCCAGGCCACATTCCAGCCTGGGTGTCCTCGGAGCTGGTAACCAGGATGTAACCAGGATTCCCCTGGGGCACCTGCTGCTGCCCCTTCCCAAACAGACGGATGCTGGGCTTATGATATCCGGCTGCCTTGCCCCCAGGGCCCCTCTGTCTCCTGCCACCCCACCCCCCACTTCCCATCCCAGACACTCCTCCCAGAGGCTTGCCCTCATTCCCTGGCCAGGGCTTCCTAATTCTGGAGCTCAGGGACCCTAGGAGACTCTCTAAGAAGGAGATCAGAGTGGACCCAGGCAGCCATACATAATCACCCCCAGTAAGAAGTGGGAACACAGAGGGAAGGGCACAGGTGGTTCCTCTGTCTCCACACAGTCCAACCTCCCTGGAAACGACTCCTCCGGCTCACTGACCCTCACTTCCAGAGTGCCTGTGGGAGAGAGGGGCAGGAGGAGGCAGGAAAGGGAACAGGAAAGAATCAGAGAGCCAGAATTTGGGGGCTGGGAGACCATATTCATCATTTGGTCCTGTGACTCAAACATTTTGTGTGGTCGTGGCCCCCACTCCTGGGAATCTAATAAAAGTTATGGAAGTATCGTCAGAAAAATGTGCACACACACAATTTCATAGCATTTGTGGAACCTCTGAGTCCCACCTGTGCGTCCCTGGGAGGCCCCTGGAGTTTCTACTGGTAAGGAAATCAAGGCCCAGGGAGGGAAGGTGGCTCCCCAGAATTTGTGGTAGGGCCTGAGAGTGTGCATATATCAGAGGCTCAGTATCTGGCAGTGGCCTGGGACATATGCACACACACCCTTACTTGCATACACACACACACACACACACACACAGGACAGGGACAGGAAGGGGACTGTTTCCAGGGAGAGTGAGCCTCTAAGGGGACTGTGTGATATGCAGGCAGATCCAATCCAGTTCCAGGCAGCTGGAGGGGGGGGGG